GAGAGAGGACAGCACGTGGACGCTGAGGCAGTGAGGGGACTGAGCCCAGACCCTGAGCCCTGAGCACAGAGGGGGCGTGCCCAGACCCCTGTGACTCCATGCAACTCATTCCTTGACATTCTGATGGGGATTCAGCTTAAATTCCACTCTCAGACAAGAAACAGAAAGAGCTAGAACTATTCCCCTCAACACACACCCACAGGCACAGCAAATATTGATTTTTCTTTTTTTTAAGATCCGGCATTTTCTTCTCAGAGGAAATGACTCCATCGATTTGTCTCTGGCCAAAACCAACGCTAGTGGTGGTGAAAATACCTCGCCCTGTTTCCATAAAGCAGCCCTCTAGTCAATGGAGCGAATCTCTGCCAATCTGATGACCAATGATCTCAGATGTGCCAGGCGAAACGAATCTCCTGTCATTACTTCCAAGTGAAGAACTCTGTTTGGCAGCACCTTGGAAAACAGTTAAAATCCCTTCCTGATATGTGGAGAGAGGAGCAAGCCACCCAGACCCAGTGGGCGGGCTCCCCCTGCTGGTGAAGGATGTTATCACAGTGCAGGGAAAAGGAAGGATTTTTTCAAAAACAGTGCAATGAAACAGGCTAATGGAAAAAGCAATTTGCCTTAAAAAGAAATAAAACGGTTGTCCTTTACCCCCTGGCCTGCCTCCCAGGGTGTTTAAAACTTTCCAGCGTCATGTTAATTTATCTACCATCAAGGAGTCCTTGTTTCATTAATCATCATGAAAAGCCATATTTTTTAAATTTTATTTTATTGTTTAAAGTATTACAGATAGTAGTACATATGTCTCCTTTTGAAAAGCCATATTGATGGGAATTTACTATTGAGTAAGAAGAGTCGAAGAGTCACCTTGGCTGGTTTGGCTCAGTGGATAGAGCGTCGGCCTGCAGACCTAAGGGTCCCAGGTTCGAGTCCAGCCAAGAGCACGTACCTCAGTTGCAGGCTCCTCCCCAGACCAGGCCCTGTTCAGGGCACATGCAGGAGGCAACCAATCCATGTGTTTCTCTCACATCAATGTTTCTCTCTCTCTCTCTCTCTCTCTCTCTCTCTCTCTCTCGCTCCCTCTCCTCCCTCCCCCCACTCTCTTTCTAAAATCAATGAAAAAATATCCTTGGGTGAGGAAACAAAAGTGACACAGCAGGGCCACACATATGCATGCTGTGACCAAGACCCCAGGTGCTCACACAGTCCTCTATGCAGCGCGAGAACCAGGTCTAAACAAGTAAACAAGAACATAGGTGGCAGCATTTCCTCTACTAACTTTTAGATTTTATTTGTCAGTATTTTGTATGTTAGCCTTTCTAATAGGCGTGTAGTAGCATCGCTTCATGGTTTTGAGTTTCATCTTCCTAATGACTAATGAAGAGCATCTTTCCATGTGCTTGTTTGCCTTCTGCCCATCTGCGTTGATTAAGTGTTTTGTGCATTTTTTGACTGGGTTGTGTTTTTTACCATGGAGTTTTGATTGTTCTTCGCATATTTTGGTTTTAAGTCACTTGTCATATATGTTATTTATAAATATTTTATCTTGTCCTGTAGCTTTTCTATTCATTTTCTTAGTAGTGTCTTGCAAAACAGTTTACATTTTGATCAAGTCCAATGTGCCAATTTTTTTCTTTTATGAGTCGTGTTTTTGGTGTCAGGTCTAAGAACTTGATGCCTACACCCAGGTCATGAAGATTTTCTCCTATTATTTTCTTCTAAAGTTTTATAGTTTTACATTGTAGATAGAGATCTATGATCTATTTTGAGTTAATTTTTGTATAAGGTGTGACTTTGGGTTGAGGTCAATTTTTAAAAATATGGATGTCCATTTGTTCCAATGCCATTTGTTGAAAGACTAAGACTATTCTTTCTATGTTGAATTGACTTTGTGCCTTTGTCAAAAATGGACTGATCATATGTGTGTGGGTCTATTTCTGGACCCTACTGTGTTCCATGGATCTGTATGTCTATTCCTCTTCCAACACCACCTGCTTGATGACGATAGACACAGGAAATCTTAAAATCAAGTGGTGGAATTTCTCTAACTTTATTCTTCTTTTTTACAATTGTATGGCTATTTTGGTAGTGTTTTTTCCTGCATTTCCTTATGGTTTTAGAATTAGTTGTAGATGTCTAAACAAAACCTTGCTGGGATTTTGATTGGAAATGCAATAAATCGTAGATCAACTTGGGGAGTACTGGCATCTTCATTGTGTCAATCCTTGACAACAGTACTAGTCTGTCTCTCCATTTACTGAGGTCATCTTTGATTTCTTCCACTAGCATTTTATGTATTTTAGCATCAAGATTCTTTACATGTTTTGTTAGAGTTATACCTAACATTTTGCTTCTTTGACATTATTATATATGGTAGTGTATTTTTTAACTGTTAGCATATGGAAATATGATTGACGAAATGTTCTTTACATAACAGGCCGTTACAACTATAATATGGTGATTCAGTTACAACTATGTGACTACATCACATCTGTGCAACTTAACATTTATAGCCCAGAAGTCCATCTGAGTCTAGTTCAGAAACTCTTGCATAGACAACAAAAGAATCATGTAATTCCATGAACTCCGTTCTGTTTGCCTATTATCTCTTGCATGTTAGATTCTGGATTAACAGTGATCTGAATGGTGCACATTCAACAGGCTTCTAATGCTCGTTGCTAGTTCTGTGCTGAGCTAGTTCTGTGCTGAGCACCATAGAGACCCATCGCCGGCTGTTCCCATGAACATGTCTGACCCCTAATTTCATAGCTATGAGAGGTATAAAGCAACCTACCAATTTCATGTGTCCTTAAAAGATTTAAGTTACTTTTCCCATTGGTGACCAATATATTCATTATAAAAATCACAAAAATACAGAGTTTTTCTTTTAGCATTCAAAGCAGGCATGCACAATTCACATGTGAACAATATTATTATCTACATAACACTTCATTATCTCACCGCGCAAATACATTTTAATGATATGAGACTTGCATGGTACGACTGAACATCCCATTTCTTTAAAAAACCTGTATGCAAAGTTTAAGACATTATTTAATTTAATCACTAAACTAAATTAAAGCTAGATGATGCTTCTATGAGTCAAAATGCGGTACACAGTGTACAGAAAATGGTACATAAACAACAAGTGACAAGTAAGTTGTACTAAATTTTGAGCTCTTTTAATTATTTCAAGCCATTAGGATGGTATCTAATAAATAACTTCATGAGGCAAATTAGACATTTGAAAATATTTGTCTTAAAGTAAGCAATTTAAACAGTTTCCTGGCTCGTCTGTTTTTTGTTTGTTTGTTTGTTTTTTAATTCTTAAGTTTACACCCATTCTTTTATTGGCGTAATTATTCGGACTAGCCAGGGAGTTCAGAAAGGCACTGGGTAAAGGCGAGATAACTTGAGGAACCAGATTACTTAGGTTCTTGCAACATCAGGAGAATAAGAATAAGAAGGACCAGCTGTTTCGCCTGCTGCGGACATCATTGTGTTCAAATGCCCCAGCATCTGCTTCTGCCCACACTCCTGTGCCACAGCATAACTCAACGCCCTGTGGGTCCTGGGAGCAGGAAGTTCGAAGCCCGGTGTGGGTGGGGAGAGGAGCCCAGCCCGTCACGTGGCCCGTGCTCCAGTCTGAGGGTGGGGATGGGTGAGCTGACAGATCCCAGAACCTAGCTGGCTGCTGAGCTGGAGAAAGGCCACCTCGAACAGGGGCTGCTACAGAGGCCCCGGAGGGGACTGCAGGCTGCAGGAAGCCCTGCGCAGAGGCTGTGCCCATGGACACCTGGCCTAGTTCTGTAGCTGAGGGGCACAGTCCAGGGAGGGGCAGATGCCCAGCAAAGAGGGGGCGCTGTGGGCAGCGGGGCTCCTGTTCTGAAGTGCTCTCCGTGGGCACTGGTGGCCACTGGACATGAGGAAGGGGCTGTTTCTGAACCTTTTCTGACCACCATGGGGAGAATGGCTGGGAAGAGCAACAGGGACGATGCAGGGCCATCAGTGTGAAGCCTGAGCTCCAGGAGGATCAGGCAAGGAGCGACTTTGCAGTTGAAGCTGCGGCAGGGACCAGACAGTCACCGGGGAGCCGAGTGAGCCAGCATCGCACAGGAGGCTGGGCCTGCGCACGGACCCCTTGTTCAGAGGCCAGCGAGGTGGCCAGTCCCCTCAGAGCTAAGACAGAAAGCAGAGAAAACCAGACACTCCAAGTGCCTTGGGCTCTGAGGGCTCTGAAGACCCGGGGAAAGAGGCTGCCTGTGGTTGATCAGAGGAGGAGGGGGAGGGCAGAGCCACCTTGCAGAGGTCCTGCTGGTGGGCGAGGGGGTGAGTAAGGACTGTGGCGAAGAAAACCTGGGCGTCTGCGAGCTGAGAGCTGAGTGAGCAGGAGGCAGAGCAGCGGGGAGTCTGGGAGACAGCAGGGTCTCAGACCCCAGGGTGTGATGCGGGAGACCCACAGCTGGGGAGGCTCACACAGCGGAAGGACGGAGTGCGGGCCCACAAGCGGTCTTCCCAGATCGGGCGGACTCAGTGCCGCTGTGGCCTGAGTCACTGATTTTGAGAAACAGGCTGGTCCACGTGATGCGACCCCAAAGCCACTGACCGGGCATGTCTTTGCTGTTGCCGTGGTTTTGTGTGTAATTCCTGAGTGTTTGTCCAAACCAGGAGCTTGAGGAAATGATGTTTTCCTTTCCGAGCTTTGGCTACCTGGCCCCGTCTTAGATGGCATCACCCTTCAATGGCCTTCATGGCCCCTTGCTGGTGCTTAGCTGACTTTGGGGCCCAGACGTGGACTGAGCGGTGGGAAGCGCTCCCAGCTCAGGGAGTCTCACAGCAGAGGTCCTGCTCGTGTCCCTCCCACCGCAGGCATGTCTGGGCGGCTTCAGCAGCTTCCCAGCACGAAGTCCTGATTCCAGTGATCCTGGTGCAGCAGGAGTCAGAGGGATGGAACAGAGGGTGCGGCCTCCCTGAGGTCCCTGTGCTCTGTCTTTCAGGATGCTCACCACGCAGCCAGAACCACCCACTACGGCTCCCTGCCCCAGAAGTCACAGCACGGCCGGCCCCAGGATGAGAATCGCGTAGTCCACTTCTTCAAAAACCTTGTGAGTGCTCTTCCACTGTGAGTAGCGCTGAGGGGAGCACTGCACTGACCACAGGGGTGTGGGTGTATCCCATAGGACTCAGCTCTAACCCATTAGGGGTGTGGGTGTATCCCACAGGACTCAGCTCTAATCCACAAGGGGCATGAGCATTTACCCAGAAGAAACTTCCATCCTCCTCGGGGTGGAGCTCAGCCTTAGCACCTGGCACCACGGTCCCAGTGGCATCTGCTGCTTACTGAACTTTTGTTTTACCAAAGAGCTCACTCCTTTTGAAACTAAATTACCGTGAGGACTTAGTTTAAAAACACAGGCTCTGCAAAACTATGGAGACAGTAAAAAGATCAGTGGTTGCCAGGGGTTGGAGGGAGGAATGAACGAGTGGAGCACAGGGCATTTTTAGGGCAGTGAAACTACTCTGTGTGTGTGATGTGATGTGATGGCGGATACACTTCATACCTTTGTCAAATTCCTTAGCATGTACGGCACAGTGAACCCCATGTAAACGATGAAGTTCAGTTAATAATCAGTACAGCATTGGTCACCGTGAGAACTAAAGAACCCACTCAGGCAAAATGGTAACAGGGACACCACAGAGGGTCCATGGGAACTCTGTAATTTCTGTGCATTTTTTCTTGAAACCTAAAACTGCTAAAAAAAAAAAAAAGTCTTAGAAACAAAAGCAAAGCTGCAGTCTTCTAATTATAAACTTTCTGTGCGGCTAACATTTTTAAATGATACTTTCCATGTTGGTGAGTTTTCAAAGTCACAGGCCAGGTGGCGTTCCTTCAGAACCCCTGAGCATCAGGGGATTCTTACTTCCTACCCAAGAAGGGGTAGCGGTGAAGTTCATGGTCTCCATCAGTGTGCGCGGAGTGTGCACGGGAACGCTTGCCAAGGCAAGTCCGTTCCCTGGTGTAGAGCCTGTTGGTCCGTTTTCAATTCTCTCCAGCACCTTCAGAGACTTCTGGAAGATCTGAGTAGCACTGGATATTTTCAAACTCTCAGCTCGGCGGTGCTTCCCACTCAGCTAGGACAGAAACGGGGGAGGCGGGCAGAGGGATGGCCCTCGCCTAATAGGGAGTGGACACCATTAGCAGACAGGGGCTACTCCCAGCGACAGGGAGTCTCACAAACGGGGTCAGGGCCGCTCTGCAGGAGGGACCCCACCACCGCTCACCGGCTCCTGTGTCTTTGCAGGTGACGCCTCGCACACCTCCTCCATCACAAGGAAAGGTAAGACCTCTGAATATCTTCACTAGTCATCACTTTACTTACAGACCTTCCCTGAAATCCCTAAATGTACCAAAGAGAGAGTTGGGCTCATGGCGACCTGACTTGATCTCTTAGTTTTGCCAAGTGGGTCCCAAGTAGACAGGCTGAGATGCATAACATCTGCTCCTCTGACAACCGTGCAGACAGTGCTAATCAATCCCCGCTCACTTTCCCTCTAAGCCCTTATCCTAAACCCTCCCTGGAAGCTCCAGGAGGTCACTGCCACCCCCTTGGATGGGACACGTGTACAGTCTCAGCATAGGCTGCTGTGATTGTGTTTCTTCTCTATTAAAAGGACTTTTTCCTGCACTGATCACAATGTCATTATTTCTTTCTTTCCTCATCCAGGGGCGAGGAAAGTCCCTCAGCAGATTCAGCTGGGTAGGTGACAATCGTGTGTCCATGCGGCTTCGCCTCTTCCCGGCCCTCGCAGCCACTGGGAGTCTGTTCTGCTCAGTTTCAGTTGCCTAATGGTCGCTCCCCCTTCCTTTCCTCGCAGCCCAGCTTGTCCCCAGGACCCGGGATGCATTCTCCTTGAGGGGAAATGAGCAGCAGCCAACCCTCCTTCTGCTTCCTCCCACCCGTGACAGGCACCCCAGGGCCAACAACCCTCCTCCCACAGGCCCCTACAGGCCCTGTGGGGCTCCCACCAGGAAACACCACTGCAGTGTGGGCCTGGGGCTGACACACCATCTACATGACCAGCCTACCCCCAGATGGTGACTTTTCAATGAGGAAAAATGGCCCTAGCTGGTTTGGCTCAGTGGATAGAGCATCGGCCTGAGGACTAAAGCATCCCATGTTCGATTCTGGTCAAGGGCACATGCCTAGGTTGAGGGCTTGATCCCCAGTAAGGGATGTTCAGGAGGCAGCCAATCAATGATTCTCTCTCATCATTGATGTTTCTATCTCTCTTTCCCTCTCCCTTCCTCTATGAAATCAATATATATTTTTTTAAAAAAAGATTCTAAGGGAGAAAAACATGCTAACTTCAGTTATCCTATATAATAAAAGGGTAATATGCAAATTGACCCTAACAGCAGAACGACTGGGAATGACTGGTCACTATGACATACACTGACCACCAAGGGGCAGATGCTCAATTCAGGAGCTGCCCCCTGGTGGTCAGTGCGCTCCCACAGGGGGAGCTCTACTCAGCCACAAGCCAGGCTGACGGCTGCCAGCACAGCGGTGGTGGCAGGAGCCTCTTCTGCCTCCTCAGCAGCACTAAGGATGTCCGACTGCAGCTCAGGCCTGCTCCCCGTTGGCAAGTGGACATCCCCCGAGGGCTCCCAGGCTGCCAGAGGGATGTCTGACTGCCAGCTTAGGCCCGGTCCCCCAGGGAGAGGGCCTAAGCCAGCAGGTGGACATCCCCTGATGGGTCCCAGACTGCGAGAGGGCACAGGCCGGGCTCAGGGACACTCCCCCCTGAGTGCACAAATTTTTGTGCACTGGGCCTCTAGTTCTGTTTATAATGACCTATCTCACCCAAAACATTGGTTTTTGTGTGTGTGTTAGTAATAACTGCAGCTTTGATATCAAGCCATCCAGGAAAACCTTCTGATGAATTTTAGACTCTTTAACAGAGAACAATTTTTTAATGAAGACCTTAAAGAGGCAATTTGTTCACTTTTTAGATACTAGTGAAATTCGGCATCTGAAACAACTTTAAATATTCTAACCCAATGTAAAATCTTTTGTTACTGGTAAATATTAAGTATTGTTCTTTCTTTATAAAAATTACAATTTTCAGAATAACCTCTAGGCCAGGGATTAGGTGTGTCTTGGGAACACAATATCCTTAAACTCTATTACAGGCCACATATATGAGATGCTTAATTAATAGGCATCATATAAATGAATGAGAGAAGATTAAAAATAAAAAAGGGGAGAAAAAAGAGAAAGGGAGAGAGGACTGGAGGAAGGGGAGACACCTGCAGAGAAAGGGTAGAGAAAAGATTTCATAAAGCCCCCGATTTCCTCCAACACATTATGACATTGAATTATGAACTGATATATTTGCTGCAATTTTACATAAATATACTTGAGCCTTTTCCTGGCCAAATGACTTTGCAAACAGGTAACAATAATGTAGAAATGGCCCTGGGCCAGCACTCACCGACAATTAATTGTTGACTTTCTGTGCCAGGAGGAGATAGAGATGAGACTGAAGAATGAAACCCACTTTTGACCCAGAAACCGTGTGTTAGTAACCGCGTGCTCTGCCTCTTAGCTTTGCAGGCGCGGACTCCGGGCTTTATGCAAAGTCCCCCCTGCACGTGTTGGCGGCTGGGACCCAGCCCTCCTTCCCACCAGTCATCCCCAGGCCACCTAGACCCGCCGTTAACCAGAAGGGCCTTTGCACGCCTCCCACCCTTCATTTCTCATCCTATTAACGTGTGTTACATTTCTCTTTTTCCCCAAGCAGACTCCTCCCCTGCATTCCCTTGCCTGCCTGTTTCCAGCAGCTCAGACTGCCCTCCTCTGGGGAGTTCTCAGCCCTGCTTCCTCTGCTAAACCACTCTGTGTGCTTTCTGGTAAATTCTAGGTCGTTCAAAGGTATACATGACCGTGAATCTGAAAGAAGGAAAAGTCAAGTACATTATTAATCCGAAAACCAATCCTTGAATTTAGTTCTCAGAAGCTCTTTATTTTGGGAGAAAAACAAGAGAGCAAGACAGGATGAGTTTGTGTCGGGTGGGGAAGTGCGGCTCTCTGTCTGTGGCGCAGCAGCCCCTCACTGTCACCCACCCCTCTGGGTGCCGTCCTGGGGAGCGCGTGTCTGTGGACGCCTCAGGGACTCAAGGGCAGCGCTGGCATTTCTCTGGCAGGCGGCTCAGACCTCTCTGCCTGACTCCCCTGTCCTTGCTCCACTCGATAATCTTGAAATGGATCTTCACGTGAAAGCTACCTCAGACCCGGTGTCCAGTGTCCGTTCCTCGGTCTCAGCTGAATGAGAAGAACAGTGCAGATGCAGCTTTCGTGGTGGGACCCTGGACAGGTGGCTCAGTCCTGCCCAGTCGAGTGACAGAGGTGACCTGGGGGAACCTGAGCCTCCAGAGCTCAGCTCCAGCACCTCTGACCTAACGGGGTGGGTGAGGTGGTTCCCGGGGCCCACAGCCCTCAAACACTCTTAAGAGATTGTAAGGGACTGTAGGCTGAGGGGAAGGATTTGGGGGTCTCGGTCAAGAGATGGTTCCATTTTATTTTCTAGAATTCTTTGGAAACACAGGTGGCCTCCTATTTCTTGTTGGCAAAACAAAGGGAAACCTCTGACCCTGTCCGTGGAGTAGAGACTTACCCTGGGATGTGGGCAGCTGGGGTCGCCTCCTATGAGCATCATCCCTACGTCTGGGACACTTCACTCCGGATGCTCACATGCGTGTGTCCACACCGCAGTCTGTCCCGTTTCTTTCTCATATGGAACATCCCAGTGAAACTGACGCAATTGAGAAAAGACAGGGGACACAGACTTTCTCATATTTCTACTATCATCTGCTGTTGCTTTAGCCCACAGAGGAAATTGTCTCCAGCCCCTGGAGGGAGGGCGGACTGCTGGACGATAGGCACAGGCAGGGATGGAGGCCCTTCCCCCATGAGGACGGCAAGTTCAGAGCTTTGTTCCCAGAGCAGGGCATCCATTAACTCACGGATCCTCACAGCAATCGGCAAGGAAGGGGCTGTTCTCACCCGCATTTTATAGAGGAGGAAACTGAAGCTCAGATAGGTCCCCACACTTGCCCAAGGTCACACAGCTGGAGAGCAGGGAGGCAGAGGCCATCCGGGCTGCCGGGCTCCAGGCTGAGCCCTGGTGCACGACGCAGGGACGTGGCTCACCTGCCCAGACCTGCCCCTGCCCTCCATGGCACCAGCTCAGGGGCCCAGGGCCCAGGCCTGCACGCTCACCCTCAGGACTCCGCACCATGGTTCCTGGCACCGTGGGAGAGGCTCCTCTAGGCCAGAGGGCAAGAGTCTCGTCCTCACACGTTAGAAAAATGTGGGCCGGGGATCTCACCTCGTCCCAAGCCTCCTGCCTGACATCTCTAGGAGATGAAGTGAATGTGAGCTCGGTCCTTGCAAACAACCAGACACATCCCCAGACTCAGCGTCGGCCTCCTCCAGGCCCCTCTGAGGAATGGCCACTCCGGGCCCCTTCCTCCAGCCCCGTGTGGGCAAAGGTTCTCCACCTTGTCCTACGGCATCTGCTGACCCTCTCTTGAGGACCAGGCAGCGAGAAGCAGGGAGGCCGCTGGAGGCCTCAATCTTTCCAATGAAAGCATTTGGGCATCTCATAACAGAGCCCTGGCCCAGGCCAGGCCAGGCCAGCCGCTGAGACACGCGAGTGGAGGGCACTGCGCCCTCGGTCACCGAGGCCACTCGGGCAGGGCCTCTGGGCCTGGCTCTGACCAGAGCTGTGCTCCTCTCTTGCAGGGAGCCGAGGGGCAGAAGCCTGGATTTGGCTACGGGAGCAGAGCTGCTGACTACAAATCTGCTCACAAGGGACTGAAGGGCCAGGACACCCAGAGCACGCTTTCCAAATTCTTCAAACTGGTAACGTAGCCACCCCTGTCCCGGGACATGCGGGCAGGTGGGTCGGCCGTCCAGCCTCCTCACTCCTTTCCTCAGGCGTCTCAGTGAGCAGTGAATCAGTGAGGCCAGGCCCCTAGGACTTGAGGGCAAGATGGGCCACAGGCCACAGCTGAGCTAGGGGAGTCTGACCCACCTGGAGGCCAGGGGGCCCCTGAGGCAGCAGCATCTTTGCCTCCCAGGAAATGAGCGGGACCAGGTGATGGGGTGGGGATGGTTGGACCAGGTGAGAGACCCCGGAAACCACAGCCCGTATGTCTCGTTGGTTATGACACTGGAGTCTCACAGACTCAGGCCCATATTTGTTGCCCAAGAGCCTATGGCCTGCGACCTCTGAGCCTCAGTTTCCTGCTCCGTGAAAGGGGGACATGTGGGGAGAGTGCTGTGACAGTAAGAGGTGGTGAGAGCAATGTGGTCACAGGTGCCTGCAGGTCACTTGCAGGGGTGGCAGCTGACACCATTGCCAATAGTAGCGACAACCGTGCTCTCAGAATGTCCATCTGGTCAGGAAAGGCTACGGTGCAGGTCTCGAGGGGCCATTTCTCCCGTCTAGGCCTTAACCCGGACCCATTCTCCGTCTCAGAGCGGCTGAGGCCTCGCTCCTTCCCAGATGCCTTCATGGCCTGTGGAGGTCACAGAGGGTCCCTGGCGCTGACCCCTTCGCACTGGGGAAGGTCACAGATGCTGGGCCCTGAGAAGCATCTCTGTGGACAGGCTCTGCCTGGAGGCCAGTCATACAAGGGCCTTGGGAAGGGACCGTCTTAAAGGTGCTCACAGAAAATGGACAAAATAAATGGCAGGAAGGTGCTGAGGGTGATGAGGGTGGCGTGTGCCTCTGAGTCCAAGCTGGTTACCGTTCCGGGAGGGTGGCCAGAGAAGGCCGGGTGAGCAGGTGACAGCTGAAGGGCAGGACCCTGCTCCCTGTGAGTTCCAGGCGACACCGGGTCAGGGCTCATCTCTGCCAACAGAGCACAGGGCCCTGCAGCCCAAATCCCCACTGAGGGAGGTCTCTGACCCGTGAAAGCTGCTTTCTAACTGGTTCGTTAAAACATCAAGAGTTTACAATTTGTGGTGGAATAACTTGGTCTGTAATCCAAATACCCTTTGATTTGCCAATCTGCCCTTTAACTCAGTATGAGTCATGCGTGTGGTGTGTCCGTGGTTGGGAGATGCGTGCGGAGCCCATGCATGCAGACCTGGTGGTGTTGGGCGCACAGGTGGTGTGGACAGCAGGCTCTGCCTTTTAGGGAAGTCACAGCTGTTCAGAGAAAGCCTTAAATACATGACGTGAGTGGTAAGTAGCCGAGCTGCTAACTGGCTTGATGTCAGGGAAAATGTAGGCAGATCCACTCCTCGATGTGACTACGAGGAAGTGAATTCCACCCCAGACGGAGGCTGTCATGACCCACTCACCTCAATTCTGAAATGTGGCCGAGACAGGGGGGTTGGACCTACCAGTGTTGGGTCCAAACCCAGCCCTGCACTCAGCACAGCCATGTTCCCACCTGTGGCCCAGGCCCGCTGGAGGGCACGGCCGATAAGATGGCCTGCGGTGCCCTGACCCTTCCTGGGCTGCCCCACGACTTTCTGCGCCCGAGGCTCCCGGGAGGAACCCAGCTTTCTGCAGTTGTAACCATCTCCTTCTTGTCCCAGACGTGCAGGTTTGTCCTGTTCTGGGGAACTAGTTACTGCGCTAACCAGCTTAGTGGCTAAGAATCACATATGAGTGATGACCAACGGGTGAGGGGAGGGCACAGCTGAGCAGGTATAAAAACACCCATTCATACCTCCCACATGTATTGTGTATGGAACCCATTTGTTCCTTAATGAGGGCCAATGTTTCCCTAAAACTCTTCTTATAGGCAGTGGTTTAGGAATTCTAACATTTCTATACAGTTCAAGGGAAGCTTCCATTTGTCAAATTAAAACAAATTTCAATTAATATGGTTTTAATTCAATTTTACTACATAAAAATCCATCCGCTGTGCTACTCTGGTCACATGGGGGCTGAATGTTTGACATGGAGCAGTTAAAACAGATTTTAAAAATCCCCCCGAGATTAGAAACCTCAAGGCAGATGAGTGAACATGGTGGGATTTGACAGTATTTAAGGTAGCAGCGTGTCCCCTGTCTTTTCTCCCTCCTCCTCGTTCACCATAGAAAATCAGTGGTGAGAGGAAAGAGTGGGAGGAGGGGCCGGATTCGGCTATTGGGCTGACGGTTGGAAATCAGGTGGAGAGCACTACATCTACCCCAACCACTTGGAGCCGCCCCGAAACGTGCAGGAGTCTCTCATCCCACACACCTGAGCTGGTACCTGCTCCTACCCAGAGCGCGTCCCAACAGCTGTGACATGGAAGAGTGGAGAGCTGTGACTTTGCCGCGGCCTCTGTTCTGGTCCTGCCCTAAAATACAAATTCAGTCTGACCTCGCCCATGCGGACCAGTGCTTTAGGCAGAGGGTTGAAAGGGGTACAAATAGGACAGAGGGAAGCAGAGGCTCCCCTTACGGGCTGGGTGACTCTAGGGAAATGACCCCCCCATCTCTGAGCTGCAGCTCCCACATAACATGGGAATGTGAAAGCTACCTCTGGGCTGGGCTTTCTGGTTCCTAAGAGTACAGATGTTACAGATTTGGCTCATGGTAGGTACTCAATAAATCATAGGTACGTGAGCAGAAAATAAAACCAGGAAGCCCACCAGCCTTCATTTAACAGGAGCCATCCAGAAGGTAAATGGAACCTCACTTAAGCTGCCTCGCAAAGGATGTCGGAACGGAATCCATTCCAGCACATGTGTGCTTTGTTTTATAAGTGGTGGTTCTGCTGTGGTCAGGAATGAATCACACTCTACAGGCGCCCTGGGGTTAACCTCTTGGAAATTCAGAAAAAGGCGAGGCTCTTCAGACTTCCCGGAGGGCAGCTCTGAGGGCCCTGCCGACAAGGCTCACCCCAGCCCTGAGGCCGCCTGAGTGCCCGCTCCACACACTCCCCGAGGCCCGACTGCGGGCCACGCGTGGGGAACAGAATTAGACTAGACCGCATCAGTTGGGTGCTCACTGTCGTCTGGGAAATAGCATGTTCTGCGTATACCTTGCTTTCTGGGGCTCACTCCAAAGGAAGTCTCTGTTTTGAGAGATCAATTTTTCAGTTGAAACCTCAGGAAAAAGGGAAACCCCAGGAGGAAGAGAGCAAATTTTGAATGCAAAATTAGCGCATTTCTCCCATGTCCATCTCAATGACATGAGTGACCAACTACATTGTCTTCTCAGAGAGTGGGCACCCACACCCGAGCCACCTCCACACTGTGGGCCCTGCACAGCTGTCTCCGTCTCAGTCAAGGCCAACGTCAAAAAAATTTTTTAATTGTACAGGAAACATGTCCATGCGTGGTTTTAAGCCCCATTAAGTCAAAGTTTGCTGACAGCCCGCCTGTAGGTTAGTCTGTCTGGGCGAGGCAGATGAGGGGCCGACAAGCAGGCAGAAGCCCCCCCCCCCCATAACCCTGTGAGGTTCAGCAACTGGTGTGTCACCCCAGAGGTGAGATTGTCCCTGTCACTGTTTGCAGACAACTCCCCTCAATTACCCCGGGGATTTCTAGCCAAAAACAATGAGGTGCTTACTCCGAGCATAATAATGAAGACATGGAGCTTTTTCACCTGGAACTGTATTTCTAGCCAAGAACATCCTGGGAACTGAATTCCAGTGATTCATCTGAAGCCCTGAAAATTCAGCGCTTGTTCAGGGAGTGGTGAGGGATGGAGCGAAAGACACCTTCATGTGGCTTCATTTCTAGCAACAGACCCAGTGACAGCCCCCAGTGGTCTCCAGGAAAGGGGAGCCTGGCCGAGGTCCCAGCACTCACCTAACGCTGTGTTTCCTCTTCTCAGGGGGGAAGAGACAGCCGCTCTGGATCGCCCATGGCCAGACGCTGAGCCTGACTCCTGTTCGCGAATCCTGTCCTGGCTTCTTAATAATCCCGCCCTAGGATTTTAACACTGTCCCATCCAGTCCACCCCTCGTTCTAGACACCACCTCTTGCTAGTGCCTTGGCCTGTGCGCACAGTCGGGTCAGGCACACGCAACCTACTGGCAGTTTTTGGCCCTCGGCTGCATGGAAAACACAAACACAAAACAGTTCAACTGTTCCTACTCTATGTCTGAAGACAAAGTGTCCTGGAGTCTCATTCCGCAGCGACGCGCCAGGCGCCCTGGAGCCCGAGCCCCGCGGCGCCGGCCTGGTCCCACTGACCCTCCGTCCTTGGACTTGCTTTGCATGCTGACCCACCCCCGGCTTCAGGCACTGCTGGGAGGCACTGCTGTGACACAGGACACGTGCGGGTGGTGGGACTGTGGCCACGCTTCCTCCAGTTCCTGTCCCCGCCCTGACTCACCTCCTAAGGCCCCTTCACCTCCTAACAGGACTAGGCAGCAGGAGTGGCGTCACCCCCGCGGGAGCTTTGGTACGTGGATGCCGGTGGGCAGCTTGGAAGAGAGCAGAGTGGTGGGCACAGAGGCCCCGTGGGCTGCTCCCACGCCAGAGGGGCTGACCTCGTGTGTGATGGAGAGGGGAAGGAGGCAAAAGGGCCGGGCAGTAGCCTGGGGCAGGAAACAGGCGAGGACATAGCAGGGACCAGAGTGGCCCCTACAGAGCCCTGTTTCGTCACCAGAGCCCGGCTGAGAGCTCGGGGAGACCTGCACAGAGAAAGTGGACTGTAGGAGATTTTGGGGTGGCCGCACAGTGTCACCCTGGTCACTGGAAAGCCGACCGTGACAGGTGGCATGCTCAGCATGGCAGTGCACATTGCAAACACTAACCTCGTGGAAGAATAACCCTCCGTGTGCTTGCATCCGGGGAGTGAATGTGCTGCGTGACTAGGCTTAGTAGGGCCCACCCCTGATCACCATGAACCTACCCCTGCCCGGGCCCCTGATCCTGCCCTTGCCCCTGATACTGCCCCTGCCTCTGACCCTGAACTTAATCCTGCCCCTGCCCCTGCCCCTGATCCTGACCCTGACCTATGGCTGGGCCTGGCTACTGAGGCTAGAAAAGCTGTCCTCTGCACAGTACCCTTCTAATGTGAGCGGACACCCCCTGCCCCTCCATAACGTACTGATTGTGCCTTTTGAGTTTTAGTGCCTCTTCTCAGCCTTCCCTCCAGACCCCCTGCAGCCTCCTTCTCCTCTAGAATGAAGATGAGGAGTGGCCTCCATAGGGCCCCTCTAATCCCATCTAATCCTGAATGTTGAGTGTGGGTTTATATAATGTCTATTAACTCATAGCCTCAGTGATGAGAAGGTAACAAAAAAAAAAAAAAACAACACCCAAAAAACAAAAAACAAAACAAAACAACCTTTGGGAAACAGAACCTCCAATTGCTCAGCCTGAGCGGTCTGCGTGAGCTGATGTTGGTGTGAGCCCCATGCAGATGACCCCTGACAGCAGCCATGGCTGTCCCGGGGAGAACACACTGTTCTTGAATAGTGACATAAATAAACTTTTAATGATACTCGCATGGGGTCTCTTATTTGCGTCTGTGGAACGTGAGCCCACATGCCGCGATCATCACACCCGAGCTAACGTGGTACAGACCTGTGGTCATGGCACACAGCACGCCAGCACCTCCAGCAGGTGCGATGTCATCGCATGGCTCACACATTGACGAGAGAAGGTGGGACCGGGTCACTGTGAGGGCGTCGGTTCTCTGATGCACCAGGAAGAGAATCTTCAAGTTATCTTTAAACCAACTTTTTAAAAATATATTTTTACTGATTTCAGAGAGGAAGGGAGAGGGAGAGGGAGAGAGAGAGAAACATCAATGATGAGAGAGAATCATTGAGCAGCTGTCTCCTGCACACCCTCTACTGGGGATCGAGCCCGCAACCCGGGCATGTGCCCTGACCAGGAATGGAACCATGACACCCTGTTTCATAGGCTCAACCATTGAGCCACACCGGCCTGGCTAAACCATCTTTTACTGCATTTACCAGTGAGCACCATGCTCATGTGAAGTAAGGAATCTCTGACAAATTACTTTTTGCCACATTTTATCTTGCAGAGACATTGACAACAAGTGATTTTGGGAATGTTTGTTTATAGTTGGTTTGGGTTATAAGAATTCTCTTTCAAAAAGATCCACTAAAATGATTTTTTTTATTTTGCTTTGCTTTTGACAAAACCACAGGTTCCTTTCTGTCTTGGTAGCAGTGTTGTCGAACTCTGTGCATCTGTGAAATTCAGCAAGGGCAGCTCCAGGCGGGATAATGGCAGGGCCCCCAGCCCGTGTCTGCTGGAGCCCACAGCCTCAGGGGCAGGCAGCCCCACCGTGGGGCTGAGGGACTCCAAGCCAATACTGACCAACCCTCTTCCTTTTTACTTCTCTACCCAAACCTCCTAGAACAGAGGAATTTGGAAATCATGCAGAAATAATTTATAAATGGTCGGTGCCAGGGCTCAGCTAACCCGAGGTCCCAAGTCACCTCACATCTCAGATTTGCACAAGATGCTGGGCCAAGTCACGCCTTTGTGTTTAAATGCAAACAATCTCACAAGAGAGCCAAGTATTCTGGAAAATTCATTGGGAGAAGCACTTTAGGTAATTGAGCAATTCACTGTAGAGGGAATACCTTTCCCATAATCTGATCACCTGAAATAGTCCCATCCCACCACCCCCATATTTGAAAATGATTACAGCAATCCCCCCACAAACAGGCCATGAGGTGGGGAAAAGCCTTCTAACCAGCCTGAGAAAGTCCAGTCACGTCACTTTCCTCCGAAAGTGTATGGAGTCCCTACTCTGCGCTAGAAACAAAGGGAACCAAGACAAAAGTCCTTCATTTACTATCTCAACAAGATAATGACTCTATAAACCACCAGCTTCTAAAAGTTTGAAATGGATAAACTGATATAATGATTCATTTCATTTCATCTCACCCTCAAATACTGTACAAGCGAGAGTATAAAATACTCTCAGGGATAGAAAATGAGACACCCCCACACAGTCCACACCCCACGCATCTGAACTGACTATGAATTCAGCGCCATTGTGTGCTGACCCTGCGGAAAACGCTACCTAGAGAAATGTCCATCTTGCAACTGTTATAACTCATCCAGAGCCCAAATAAGTACATGTACAGGAGCTTTAAAATATTACCAAAGCTGTTTTTATTACTCCTAAACCCAGCACAGTGGCCTTTGGCATAACTATCCATTTCTAATACAAAATTGGATTAAATCAGTATCATCCAATGTATAAGTAGACCATGAAACATGTTGGAGATAAAAAAGTATTTCTTTTGTGAAAAAATAAATTAAAAATTTTCTTTAGTGGTGAATCAAGAGTGAATCACTTTGTCATTTTAGAACTGGTCAAATAGATTACAAATCTTGACTGAACACAGAAGTCATCATGCTGTAAAGCACTACACAGAAACATGGTTAAACGGCAAAGCCTCGCAGTGACTGCCCCCTGCTCCTGCCGCTGATGCGGCCACTTAGTGCTCAGTGTTAGTGCTGAAATACTTATTAGACACCCATATAAAGCGGTGGGTGTGAGAGGATGAGTGTGGGCTCACTGGTATGACTGAGGAAGCGTGTAAATTCAGATGAGATCAGCAATGACCAAGCGTGACACTTGCTTAGAAACCTCCCCAAGGCAGAGACTGCCTCTTTAAGAGGGATATGCAGGGCTTCTAACTGTAATCAAAAGTCTGCCACCCCACTTTTTAAACAACGAAGAAAATGCCATTAGATTTTAAAATGTTAATTTTCACTAGAATAAGGTAAAGACATGGAGGCTCCATGTATATGCAGACACTTCTGAAATTCTATTCTGCAAACTCCAAATTACCTACGTTACACGAGATTAAGTGGCAAAACGAGAAGACATCTAGGTTCACAAGTATCAACTGTATAATGTCATCTCTGCCTCACTTTGTACAAGAGAGTCTAGAAAAAAGAAATTAATTAGCAACAACTGACCCTTGGATTAATTTTTTCTTGGTGGTAGGGGGAAGGGTAGAGTATTGACTTTGAAATAAACTTTTGGGCGGGGAGTGGGGGGAGAATATGCAGAGAAGGCATGAGATCTCTCTAAAAATGTAACCAGACAACAGTCCTATATTACATGTTTTCTTAAAAAGGTTTCACTTACGTAAATCCAAGGGATCAGTTTTTTTGTTAAAAAATGCGTCTCCTCATAAGTTAGAATATTCTTCTGCAGAGAGGGAATCCACGTGAAGAAGGGAAATGCACCTTACTGTGCAGAACCTTAGACCTGGACTAAAATGCACACCTCTTGCACATAAATGTTACGTAAGAGGTTAGACGTCAGAGAACAATGGTTATAATCGTAAAACAAAAACTCACATTTCCTTAAAAATGACAATGGGCAGAGTACAAAATATCCTAAAGAAAGTTTCCCTAGTTAAATGCTGCGATTGGCTGGCACTGGAATTTCGCCATGGGGAGGACCGCTGGTACCACTTGTGAGGACAGGTGTTCTCCGTCCCCTCAGGGACACATGGCCAGAGGACATGGGCAGCCGATGAGCCTCCCACTGACCTGACGGGCCACAGGCAACATCCAGGTGGGCGGGTCTCCTTTCACACCCGTGCAAGCACCAATGGGTGTAGCTGAGGCAAAAGGCCAGCTGCAGGGGAACCACGTGTGGACCAGTGCACCCTGTGTGGGCAAGGGCACTGGAGTTTCCATTTCTGAAAGGATGCTTTTGTCCTAAGCCACTGACATTCTATGGGAATAACCTAATGGCTGGGATTCCATGCACACAGGGTTCCTCCCGAGACCTGGCATCACAGGAACGCACCCAGGCTCTCGCGCAGACCCGGCCACCTGGCACCGGTGAGCGTTCACTGTCTGGGTTCACAGAGGGAAAGGAAAGTGTCAAAGTTCCTTTCGGTTAAAAACTATCTGAACTTGGAATGAATTCATGTGCCAAACTTCCTTATATTAAATATTCTAAAGGGAGAAATGGGTCCCACTTCCTAACTTCATGTTTTATTTATTGTTCTTCCAAAAGAGATCTGCTAAGATGAGATCTTTCTGAAGATGCTGTTATCTATCCTCATGGTCCTGGCTGTGCAAGGCTGGAAATCTCTCGTCAGAAGACTTCATCGGCCACTAAGTCATAAAGAGCAACCTGCACTCCACCCAGGGCTCCATAAACTGTCTTTACAAAATCTTATCTTTTCAAGGAATGTTTTGCAAAGAAGCAGCTTTTATAATTAGAAAGTGAATCAAAGTAATACACTAATATCTTGTGTTTGCTTGCTAATAAACTGAGAACACTCACAAAACGAATTGTTGATAGGGTTTTTCCTTTTTCTTTAACCAAAGTAGTAGTAGTTTTAGATTCTCGTGGTACAGAGTTCAGGGCTGTGCTTGAGTACAATTAAGAATTAAATAAACCCCTCTTAGAGATTGTCCTGAGATGACATTTAATGCTAAAAACAAAATAAATAAACTAGCAAGAACAAAATTTTTTAAATTCCAATAACTGCAACTTGGGATTTTTGTTTACCAAAATTAATGAACATTTCTAAAATATTTTAATACAAAATTATAAAAGAAAGTGCATTAGAAGCAAAACCTTTAAAACTCTGGCAAAATTACATTATTCTGAATACACTGACTACAGCCAGGTACACACACCAACATTCAAGGAAAACCTCAAGATATATAATAAGTCCAGCATCACAAGAATAAGTCAAATAAGGCTTTTTCCCCTTAAAAAAATATACAATACACAACACAGTTTGAAAAAAAAGTAATATTATTTAACAGTTTTCTGACTTAAATATTTTCACATAACAAAAGTTTTTATATCACCATGTTACTTATATACATATCCAAAAGTGAACAAAAACAAAAAAAATCAAAAGATGCCCTTTCAAAAAAATAAGAGTGAAATGTCTCTTTTTTTCAGGAACCTGAAATGAGTTCCTCTCTTAATATACAAAGTCCGTACACTATTTACAGTATAATAAACTGCCCTCTGAAACCAGAGAAGAAATGAGAGAACATAAAGGCAGTTATTTTTCAGAAAAATAAAAACAGCCCAGCTCTATGTTACAATGAAAAAGAGACCCATTTATTAATAAAATGAACACAATACTGGTCTGAAGTGCTCAGAGGGAGGTAAAAGCGCTGATGCTCTCTCTGTAATGGGGACGAGTGCTTATATTTACAAAATATACTGTTCAGCCACACAGAGGCCCATATATCTGTATGTACATATGCACTTATATATAGAACATATAAATAACTTCAAAGGGGAAATTCACATGGAGAGAGAACTTTCCATCTTTGGAATGCTGCAGGAAGGACACGCCGCCCCGGCACGGGGGGCTTGGTGTGGGACATGTTGAATGTGGCACCATTGATGAGACAAGAATTCCCTGAAATAAAAACACACCTGCTGATGCATGAGTAGGAAAACACGGGCTCAGGTGGGCTCTTGCCCTTCGACTACAGATAGACCTAATGTCGC